AAGTATGCTACGTGTCAGGCTGTTTTGAACGTAAAACGAGTCTGTATCTCATTGCGCTAAGACATTATACGCGAATGTTGTTTACTACTTTCTGTCCAAATCAGCCAGCACAGATGCGGATAGTCTGTTGCATTATATCCTTGTTTGCTATGTCATGGTTTGTTGCTTTTCTTTGGTTATGGTATGCCTTAGTCTATTATAGTATTGACGTTGTGCCGTAGTGGGAGCAGTAGTCGAGCAAGTAAGGTTTGCACTGTTATGTTATGTCATGCTGTACTCTGGTATGTCCGTCTCTTCCACCGTACGAGTTTGTGTGCTGTGCTAGGGTCGGTTATGTGCTGTTGCGTTGCTGTATGTTCTGTTACTTCATGCTATGCTGTGCTATTATATGCCATGCTATGGTAGGTTATCGTATGGCTTGCTATGTACCGTTTATCATGTTAGTGTCTGTCATGTTGTGACCACTCCCGGTCAATAGTGTTACGGTCTTTGATCCTATAGTATACGCAATGCCTTAGTGCCTCCAGTCGTAGAACACTCACGATAGGCTATAGTGCGTATGTTATGTTGTAATATGCCAGGTCCCGCTCTGCCACGCCATGCTGTCCTATCTTATGCTGTGATCGGCTGTGATCGAGTATACGGTGTTGTGATGTGTCATGGTATGCCTGTGTAGTGATAGTTCTATCCTATGGTATTATGTATGTTGGTTTTGTGTGTTGTGTTATCATATGCGATGCTCCTCGCACTGGTGCGGTATATGTTGTCATGTTTGGTTAAAGATACACGTATGTAATAGCCTCTGTAGGCTACATTACAGCATGTGCCCTATCGGATTGTGTTACGTGATAATGTTGTCGTGCAAGGTCGACTATGCTATGACCCGCTCTGGGGTCGTAGGATTTCCATCATGGTGTTATGCTGCGAAGTGCGATGATATGTTGATATGCCTTGTTAAGTAATGTTTTGCTCCATCATACGATTGTCTATGATGATATGTTGTGGTATCCAGCGATCGAGTCATTGTGTTGTGGTCTTCTATGTATGTTATACTATGCTATGCTATGTTCCGCGATCCTGTGCTTGTTATGATGCATGTGCCCATTTCTGCTGTGCGTCTGTGATGCCGATTCTGCATCCTTCTTTGCTCATGCGTCCAGGCGCCTGAATGGTGTGACGCCGTACAGCCCCCCCCCCCCCTCGGGGCTGTCTGGTATGCATGGGTATCGTAATTCGTCGATGGCGCGAGGCGGGATACTCATGGACCGTTGGGATCCTGTGGGGTCTGGCGACCGCGCTGTGGGGTCGTCATTCGTCGAGGTCGCGAGGCGGGAGATCGAGTGATCATTGGGACCCTGTGGGGTCTGGCGATCGCGGTATGTCGGGTGGGTCGACGGGAATTTGTTTCACACATTTAACAGCATCAACCGATCATGTTGGGAAGACGGGGAAGAAACGGAGGAGGAAGTGGAGGGAAACCAATGAGGACAACAATGTTGAGGATGGCAACTACGACGATGAAGGCAAGGGTGACCAGCAGGAGGGTGCGAGGAGTAAGGGGGCAGGGACGATGACGGTGATGATGAGATATGATGAGGAGGGGAGGAGCAGATGAGGAGGGAAACCACCTGATAACAAAGGCGAGGGATGATGATGATGCTGATGATGATGATGAGGAGGAGGAGGAGGAGGAGGTGGAGGAAGTACCATCATAAGCAGGAAACATGCTTTATCGTGAACCGTGAACGGCGAACACTGTACAGGAAACGAGCAAGGTGTGATCGGGAATCAACGTGGATGAGACACATGACAAGGGTACGGAAACATGTGCGTGTCAGGACGAGCAGGTATCAAAGGTGTGACGGATGCCCAGATGACGGCATGACGAGGCGTGAAACGAGGAGAGTGGAGAGCGAGGCAGAAGGATTAGGAGGAGTAAGGAGACGGGGAGAGTTGAAGAGAGGTTGCGGCGCCACTCTGGCTCAAGCTGGAACCGTGGAGCCCCGACGGCTTCCGCTTCGACGCAGGCCAGGGGTTGGCTCGAGTCCTTTGAGCTTCTCCACGCTCAGCCCCCACTGGAGCTTCAGGCACAGTGGGTTCAGTTATGGTTGCGTCTGTGAGCATGCCTATCCATGCCGCTCCAGCCGCCGCCACGTTCTGCGAGGAGGCCGCCTTCGTTGCCGCGAATGATGCCGCCGCGGCGTTCCCAGGCCCAGGGCGTGAATGCGGACAAGCGGGCGCGAATCGAAGATCCCGTGGCAGCTGCTGAGTCTCTTTGGTCTCGTGGGCTCCCTTCGTGCTGACTGCGGGATGTTAAGCTATCCAGGCCACCGTCACCACCTTCAGCTCCACCATCGGCTCGAGCTACGACGGCGTCCAGCAAGCAGATCGAGGTGCGCTTCGGCCAGCCTCAAGCTCAGCAGAGAGCAACTGATGAGCGTGTTCGTGTCTTGGAAGAGAGCGTCGCAGACTTGGTCTCCCTACTTCATCGCGACAAGGCAGAGGAGCCGCAGGTCGCAGTCCTGGATTCGCGCTCCAACAGGCACATCGACCCCTGCATATTCACCGCCAGGTGCAAGCCCGTTGTTTTTCCCGAAGCAGTGGAACAGGCTATTGTACCTTGGCTCGCCAGATCTCAGATCCGAAAACCTCATTGCTGCCAGCCCTGCGGACAAGAAGTTTGTATTCAGGCTGTTTTGGAACGCTACCTAGTCCAAGCGGAAGGTTGCCCAAGCCATCGGCGCCATCAAGATGCCATCAGGCGAATGGGAAAAGTTCATTGCCCCTGACCTGCAAGGTCAGAGGACCGAGCTTTTCATCAGCACGGAAAAGCCTCCAGCCATTGTCAAACGGGAACCGGGACTCAAGCATCTACGCCGTGCCTTCGAACACGTTTGCGCCGGACTTTGTTATTTCAGCGACAAGCAGGCCAGGGGAGGTCTCCGCGAATTGGAACCCGATCGCCAGGGTCATCCCCATACCTGGGGATGATCCATGTCAGCTCGAGTGGTGCGGTGCCTGGGGAACTTGGCCGGGCTCGGCATCGACCAAGCTGCTGTTGCTGAGCGGCTTCATGCCGCCTGTCAGCCTGCCAGCCCTCATACGTGGTCTGTTTCGCACGATGCTCCGCGACTAGCGCGGACCTAGATCAGTACAATGGCCCCCCTCTGCTGACCGCGTGGAACGGCCGTGCTCGCTTTCGCCATGACACTGCCCCCCCGTGGACCCAAACTCGCTCTTCCCCGACGCCTTCTGCGTTCCTCAGGCCCCCTTGCGGCAGTCTAGTCGAGCCACGGTTCCAAGCTACCAGGACTTCCTCTACCACTCTAAGCTGAAATACCAGATCTACGCGTGATTCTGTTCAAGCTCCCAGGCCGCAGGCATCTTCGCCATCTACCACAGTTTTGATCATCTCGAGGCCGGGCCCCCCCCCACGTCACCGCACTGGAGAGTGTGCCAGGTCGAGCCGTCCAGGTCCGAATGGGCCTAGACGACGGCCTGATTCCCCATTGCGATGCTCAGAACTGCAAGCTTAATTCCGGGGACAACCCGAAGATCTTGGGACGTCTTTCGAGGGTTCTCTCTCGCGCCCAGGGGTTTGTTCATCCGTGTTTGGCTTTGGTCTCTGGGAAACTTCGCCGCTCCGCCGCCCAGGACGGAGCCTGACGCCGAAAGGGATGAAGCACCCCATGGGGAAGCTAAGCAGGATGTGGTCTGCGCGAAGCAGCTTGGGACCCGCGCGCAATTTTTCAATTGTTCAGCCAAAGGACGCTCGCCTGCATCGGCGTGCAATTCGCTTCGTTGCCAGGGTGGATGCGCGCGCAGCTCAGCCTTGCAGGTTCGGCGGCGGGGCCTCTCGGGCCGCTGAACAAGCGTAGGAACTCTTCGATCATGCGCCCGCCCAGGTCATTTTTCCTGAGGCACACGTACCATTGGATGAGCGGCCTCTCGCCCCAGGGGCGCGCGATCCTCCCGCGCGCCAGAAGTTTCGAGAAGCAGTTAGAGAGAAGTGTGGCCAGTGGAAGTCGACGCCGCCACTTCGCCTCCAGCTTCAATCGGGGGCGATGCGAGAGGCCGCCAAGATCGCCAGATATATCATGACCACGCGCACCCCAGTGGCCCCACTTACCAGGCAGACGACCACCAAGGCTGGCTGTCTGGCGCGAAGATGTCAAGCGTGACCGGAGAGCGCGGTGCCCTCGCGAATTGGGCATTCACGGATTATGTTGCAAGGTGTGTTGCTGATGTGGATCCCTCTCTCTCTCTCACTCTCTCTCGGTCTCTCTCTCTCTCCCTCCCTCCCTCCCTCCATCTCTCTCTCTCTCTCTCTTTCTCTCTCTCTCGCTCTCTCTCGGTCTCTTTCTCTCTCTCTCTCTCTCTCTCTCCTTCCCCCGCCTTCTTCAGTCGAGCTGAGTGCCGCGCTGCCCGCGCTGCAGACAGCGCCCGCGGGCTCGATGCGCCTCCTCGTCGGGCCTGGCGGCGGCGCCCCCGGGCCCTCTCGATCCGGGATCCGGCCCTGCGGCTGCGGCCAGCTGCCCCCCCCCTTCGTTTTAAGTCGGGCCTGTCCCCCTGCAGGGGGATTTGCGGCGAGAAAAAAAAAATAATCAAAACATAGTCCAAAAATAGTCGCGGGATTTTTTTTAGTATTGTTTGACCTTTTTGGTGTATTTTTGGGGTGTGTTTTGTTTTTCGTCGAAAATCCCCCTGTAGGGGGACACGCCCGACATAACCTGCGCCCCATGGCGCCTCTGCTGCTACGGGCGAGGATGGACATGCTGAGCTCACGATTACACGTGGCCCCGAACAGACTCAACAGGCTCGCCCCTTGGACCTGGAGCCGCCCCCCAATGAGCTGGCCGCGGGTCTCGTTTTCGAGGGGCTCGGTAGATGTCACACTGCACCTGCCCCTCCAAGAGGGGGCTCGTCCAAGGGGGGAGCTTCGGATTGAGCCGCCTTGAGTTGGATGCGAGGGGCAGGGTGGCTTCGATGATGCCCGACGCAGCCGTTCAGCTTCCTGCCCTTCTTTCATGTAGCTATGGCCAAGTCTCCCCATCAGTGGCCCGCCAAGAGATTCCGTTACCCTTCGGCGCCTCTGGCGTCGCCATGCCGTTCTTGATCGTTGTCCAGGCACTCGTGCGTTGGCGTGCGGTTCTCTTCGACATTCTCGAGAGTCTGTGAGCTTGCCTCCTTCGTCATGGCGGGCGGTATCCGGGGGCGCCTTGGCAGCGGGGCATCGCTCGCACTTGCGAGCCGCCCGATCCCGATGGATTGGCAGGGTCGCCCCGGGGTCTCGGAGAGCAGCCCGGTCTGCCGCTTCGGGAAGGGTCGGTTGCTGGAGCTCGGGCCAGAGTTCACAGTCTTGCTCCTGCGCGCGCTGGCGATATTGGAGCTGTGGTTTCTGAGAATCATGATCTGCATCATCCAGAAGCGGCATTTCATCGAAGGGGGGCCCTCGCCCGTCTTTCCATCAGGAAGTTCGAAGTGCTGCCTGGCCCCGCTCGCGGGGAAGCGCGCGCGGCCGTGATGCCATGTGCCACGTGTCTGTTCCCGATCGTGGAGCCCACTCTCCAATTTGGGGCTGGTCTTCGGGCATGGTGCCAGCGCGGATTGTTGGCACCCGCCGCTTCTCAAATGGGCTTCCCGCCGCTCGGTGATTTCAAGAGTCGCAGCGCCGGCCGGTGTGATTGAATATCTATATTCCAGTCGCGCCTTGTCCATTCTGATCTGCGTTGCTCAGTTCTGCTCTGCCCCTGACTCCTGCCCCGCCCTCTCTGGCCCCATACCCCGCGCTGAACACGCGCTGTTCGCCTCGCTCGACAATGCCCCCCGCTGTGCTCTCTCCCGAGCTTGGCAGTTCGACGCCGGTGCCTGGGGCGGGCCCATTGTTCCCAGTCTCCAGGCAATGAGCTCCGCGTGTCTGATGAGAGCCGCCATCGACGCCCATCCTGAGGACGCCTCCCTGCCGACAAAGCTCCGCGACTTTGCCTCGAGGCGTCGCGAGCTCGCTGAATAGCGCGCTGGCCGTCTCTCACCGGCCTTCTGGTCTAGCCTTGCCTCGGGGAGAACCTCGGGCGGGCTGTTGCTGGGCCCCTAGCTCTCGGATCCTTCGTCGAGCAGGATCGGTCGCGCTCGATGCCGCCTGGGAGCTCTTGGCCTCTGCCTCGGCCCTCCCTCGACCTCGGGAAGTGAAAATGAAAGTCCTGCTTGCGCGTATTTTCCAGCGAGAACTCCCAGACGATCTCGGCGACGTTGTCTCGGCCAGGCGGGTGCCGCGGCTTCCTGCGGCGTCGCCAGCTTTGGAACATGCGAGTTGGCGAGGGGTCCGCCGTCCCGTTCGCTGGGCGAGGCGGCCGCTCTCCGATGCCGTCTGGAGGACTCTAAGTGGCAGTTTCATTACATCCAAGCGTTTTCGTGGTGCGATTCATCTTCGGTGCTGCCTTGGCCGTGCCGCTCCCGGCTCTTTTACCCGCTAGTGGGTCAGCCCCCGTGTTCTTTTCTTTGCTGCGCTCAGTTCTCGATGGCGACATCCGTTGCTGTCCCACGTGCCGATTTGGTGTCTTCTTGCCCTCTAGCTCGAGCCTCGCCGTCCCTGCTGCTGCGCATCTGCTCATGGTCAATCTTCTTCCTGTCTTTCAGCCGCCTGTGCCCCTGACTTTTTGAAGGGTCCAAGGCTGCTGCGCGTCAAGTGAAGGCCCCGCTCACTCGGGCGCGCGCGCGCGGCGGGAGCGCGGCGCAGACGAGGAGATGACTGCCTTCGGTCACGTGCGAGGAGAGATGAAGAAAGAGCGGGAGGTGAGTGAGTGTGAGGGGGGATGAAGAACGGGAGGCAGAGGAACTTAATGACGATGAGGATGAGGAGGAGGGCCATGCAGCCAACGATCGAGCCAGGCAACTAGCGGACCAACCATCCAACTATCAATCATCCAGCCAGGCCAACCTTCTAGCAAAGCAACTGGCCAGCCAGCCAGTTCCATATTATTCCTCTTGGTTTTCTCGTTTGCACCAGTTCTTGCGATGCGGGCCAGTTCTTCTTCTTCGACTTTCTGCCCAGACAGTCACTCGGGGTATACTGTTGGAGTGCTTTCAATCGAGTTGTGCCTGAAACCCTTGGTGTTCTGTTCCCGCCGCCGAGAGTGGCAGGATGCGCGGGGGGGTGACGGAATCCGGAGGGACCCTCCTCCGATCAACAGGCGTCGCGACTCTGCCCTCTTCAGATCCCCCCAGTTGCTTTTCTCCCCCCCCTTTTCAGAGCCCTCCAGCCCAACCGCGCCACAGCCAACCCCCGACCCGGCTCAAGACAACAGCAACAATTGGTATCCATCGCTGTCCGGTGTCCCCCCCCTTCTCCTTCAAGCCGCCTCCTCCCCCCAGCTGAGATCGCCTTCCCCATCACTCGAGTAGGAGATCGACTATAGAATTGAGTTACCCCGAAATTGACATGTTTGTCGAGTCTTCCAAACAATACGTAGAACGCGTGTAGATCTACGAACATTCGACGCCTTGCTCAACGATTCGATGAGCAACATACTTTGGGGGTAAATCAATTATGTAGTCGATCCCCTACTCGAATCATCCCGTGACAGGGCAGCGAAGGGGCCGAATGCCGTCAACGAAAGCACGGCTGCGGTGTGGTGCATGACCTGGCCTGCGCGAGCTCGCGACGAGCGTCCCGAGATCCACCGCAGAGGGTCGGATCGAAGAGCGCAGCGCGAAATTGTGGCCGACAGCCCGCGGGGGCGGATGGCGGATGCAGCGCGCTGGACATTTGTTGCGCTCTTTGTGGGTCGCACTGGTTGCCACGTTCAATGCCAGCATGGGGTATACGGCATATCCAGGTCGCAGGCCACCGCGTTTCGAGAGGTTGTCATCGTCATCAGCGGCGCTGTTATGATCGCCATCTCCTTCCACTGCCTCCTCGTCCTCCTCCTCCTCCTCCTCCTCTTCACCATCCTCTACTGTTCTCCTCTTCCCCATCCTCCGATTCCCCCCTTCCTCATTCTACTCCTCCTGTTTCCCCCGCTCTCTGACTTGACCCCCGCCCTCCTGTCCAGTTCGCTACAGGCCAATCCGCCGATCGGATCAGGGGCGCGTTCTTCACCCGAGCCCAAAAAAGATGTATCTCATTGCCCCTTCTGGCGGAGAGGGACAAGGCAGGAATGCTTCGGACGAGGATACGTTGCCAACGCGTTCCAGGTCGGCTTCAGAGTACTCCAGAGCGCTCTGAAATGGCCTCGTCGCCCGAAACATCTTCCAGACGCGCCAAGCCTCAGCTATTTCCGATGCGGTTTCGTGCGGAATTGTCCTTGCCCTGCCCTCGCCGCACTGCGTCTCGCGACCTTCTCACTGGCAGCGCGACTTGGCTCGCAGTGCCAGCTGATGGGTGAGGTGCGCCCGGCCTGTCGGAGGGTATGCTTCGCCGCTGGATGCAGTCAGGAATGCTGCTTCATTGTGCGGGCACGCACCACGAAACCATACGCTTTTCGTCCGGGTACCCTGGGTTTCTTCGCTCCGCGCGCTGCGCGGTGACTCCCCGCGGCCGTCAAAGAAGCTGCTGCGCTCAGGGTGCTCCCAGTTTCCCCTCAGGCGCACCTCGCGCGCGGGTTTTCGGCGTTGGGTTTCCTGCGAGGGCTCCTTGCGGCCGCGCCCGCGACTGCAGCGTGTCGCGCCACCAGTCCTGGCCCCCGTGCCGCGCCCGCACTGCAGCGTGCCGCGCCACCAGTCCAGTGTGAGCAGCGTGCCGCGCCCGCACTGCAGCTTGTCGCACTGCAGCGTGTCACGCCTCGGCGAGACGCGCCGCCCACGTCCGGCCCCCCGAGCGTCACCGCCCCGGGGCCTCTCCGAGCCTCCCGCGCCGCGCGGGGCGGAGCGACGCGCTCCCGCCTCGCGCGGGGCACGGCGTGCTGCCGGGGCTCCGCCGCCGCGGCACGCGGAGCAACCACTCCCGACCGTGTGCTTCGCTGCCGGACGATCGGGGTTTGGACAGAGCCCCCACCCTGGCACGTCGAGTAGTGAGTCCTCCGTTGTCGGTTCTCGCGAGAGCGCCGTGGCCGCCATTTTTTTCCAGGCCGGCGCCCGCCAGGTTTGGGCCCGAGGTCGTTCTCACTGAGCCACGTTTTACTAGAGGGGACTCTGTCCGTCCCCGAGACGACAAGGTTCATAGGCCTCCCAGACGGGATCAGAGAGTGGACTGGGTCGACGGATCGCGCCGCACCGCCGCTGCAGCCGCGATGCGGCTCGACGTGGAGCCCGAGGTGCTCCACGCGCACGGCACCGCTGCACCGGCGATGCGGCGCGGGCTGCCGGCCCAACCCGCTCCGGCCCAGCCCTGGAGGCCTCCACACGTGGGGCGCTGCGGACGGGGCCCCACCTCTGACGAACGAACAACACACACACCCATACCCATAGGGGGGCCGTTGGGAGGAGGACTGGCTATGGGTATGGGTGCGGGTTGTCGGACCCTGGGGAACGCTCCCGTTCGAGCGGGGACCCCCGTCCGACGACACGCACCCCTAGCCCTCTCCGACCCCCCTGTGGGCATGGGTGTTTCTTGTTGTCTCGTCAGCCTCCGAGGCCTCGAGGCGGTGGCACCGCATTGCCCTCCTCGGCGGAGGGCCGGCGGAAGGCCGGCGGAGGGCAGAGCGGCGGGCGGCTCGGCTCGGCCGGCGGGCGGCGGGCGGAGGGCCGGGCCCCAGGCGGGAGGCCTCTGGAGGTGCCGCCACCTCGTCGTTCCAAGAGGGGTCGAGCCGGTGGGCTCGTGTCCCAGCGCCACCACCACGAGCAGGAGGGGGAGGAGGTCCTCCTCCTGCTCCTGCGGGCGGCGGCGGAGGGCCAGGCCCGAGGCGCCGCGCGCGTGTGCGCAGCAGCTCGCCGAGGCAGGCCGCGCTGACGCCGCCCTCGCAGTCGCCGAGGCGGGCGGCCAAGGTGGCCAAGCAGCAGGAGGAGAGCCAGCGGCCTGAGGCGGGCCCTGCCGAGAGAGGAGGCGAGGTGGCTGCAGGTGGCAGCGGCGGCGGACCGCCCCCGCCACGCGAGGCCAGAGGGGCCAGGTCGCAGGAGGAGGTCCAGCCGCCTGCAGGTGAACCTGCTGCTCGATGCGAAGCAGGGGCTGCGGGCGGCGACAGCGTGGACTTGGAGGACAGGTCGCAGGAGGAGAGCATGCCGCCTGCAGGTGGCTCTGCTGCTCGATGCGAAGCAGGGGCTGCGGGCGGCGGAGGCGGCTGGCCGAGGCCGCGGCGCTGCACGCGGGAGCGCAGCAGCTCGCCAGGCTTGGCCGCCAAGGTGGCGAGGCTGCTGCGGGCCGCGCGGGGTGAGGCCTGGCCGACAGCCTCGGGCGCGTAGCTGCGCCGAGGCGCGGGCGCGCGTGGGGCGCGCGCCTCGCAGGGGTGGCCGTGGCTCGACGCGGTCCGCCTCACCCCGCGGGCATCCTCCTCCTCCTCCTCCTCCTCCTCCTCCTCCTCCTCCTCCTCCTCCTCCCCCTCCTCCTCCTCCTCCTCCTCCTTCTCTCCTCCTCCTCCTCCTCCTCCTCCTCCTCCTCCTCACCCTCCGCCTCCTTCCCCCTCCAACTTGTGGCGGTGGCGGTGGTGGAGAGCAGGCCCCTCACGAGCGGCGTGGCGGCGGCGCCCCCCCCCCCGCGCGCTCGCCCCTGGGCCGAGCCGGGGCGAGGTCAGCCGCCGTGGCTGCACCGCCGACCAGTGGATCGTGTTCGACTTGGGCAGGGAGGTGCTCGTGAGGGAGGCGGCCGCCCATGGCACGGGGCAGGGTGGAGTCGGACGGGCTGGGACGAGGAGGGTCTCCATGCCCACCGTGGGCGGCGCGGTGTGGCCGCGATATTGGCTATAGACTCAGAGGAGGAACAGGTACCCATACCTCTATATACCCCCTCCCGTTTTCCCCTTTTTCAGCCTCTTCGGAGGCCCCCGTCGCCACCGCTAAATTCGCCTCGAAATCCTGGTCAGAACGCACCCCGGGAGAGGTCCGGGGAGTAGCGGTATCGGTACCTTTTGGTTTCCCCGTAGACGCATCAACCCACGATCGCTGCTGCGTGGGGCACCGTCGTCGTCACCGATCGTGCGTTTGGTTTCCCCGTAGACGCATCAACCCACGATCGCTGCTGCGTGGGGCACCGTCGTCGTCACCGATCGCGCGTCGTGCGTCCTCGCCCGGCGCGCCGTCCTCTGTCCTCGCTGCGGTGATGATATTCCTTGCCCGGGCGGCCGCGCCCCTATCTGTGGACGCGCTGCCTCCAGTGCGTCGCAGAGCGTGCCAGGGCGCTCGCAGAGCGTCCCGCGAAGGGCTCTGGGAAGGCCGCGGCGCCCGAGAGACGCCCTCCAGAGAGGCGCCAGATCTCAGGGAGCTCCGCGGCAGCTCCTGGGGGCCCTGCAGCCCCTCGCAGGTCAATCTTCGGCGTCGGATAGCGCCGATTGGCGTCTGGTAGTCGAAGGGTGGCGCCGATTGAGCGTCGGTTAGCGTCGACTGGCGTCGATCGGCGCAGATGCAGCGTCGACTAGAGTCGAGCAGCGTCGACCAGCGTCGAGTCGGAAGGTTCGACAAGATGGTGCGGGAGGCTCCCAGTAGTTGCCGCCGAACCGTGGCACTTGGAGGGGGGAGGAGCTGGCCATTGCCGGGTCCCAGCACGGAGGGCGTTTTTTGGCCCGTGCCCAGGGCCGACTGCTAGACATGTTTGCGTTTGAAGGTCGCTATCGAACGCTGCCAACTTTGGCGTGCGTTTGTGTCAGGCTGAGACCCTTGCGACACCCAAGGCAGGAGGGTCATGGGGGGAAGAGGAGCCTAGTTCTCCTCCTCCTCCTCCGCCCCCTTTCTGCCTCCTCCTCCCTCTTCCCCTTCCTCCCTCTTCCTTCCGTGTTCCACCTCCACCTCCGCCTCTTCCTCCCCTCTTCTCCCTCCCCCCCTCCTCCAGTCTTCCGTGGCCATTTTGGCCGAAATCCGTAGCGTTGCTCCAGGGCTTGACATTGTGGCGTGGGAGGGCAGCGGCCCCCGACAGCTCAGGTCCTCCACAGACGATTGCCCAGGCAGAGGTCCGTCCATTTTCGCTCACTCTTACTCCTGCTGCTGAAAGTGTCCTGTCAGATATCGCGTGAGGCGCTCTCGGATGGCGAGGTATTTTTCAGTCTTGGTATCCATATGCTCGCTTTCCAGCGACATCAGATGGCGACTGGAAGCTTGCAGGCTTTTGAACAGAATTCCTCAAGTGCTAGCAGTGTGGAAGTGGAACGAATCGCAAGGCGGCGACTCAGTGTTTCCAGGGCGGGCACCCTCTCTCTGCCAAGCCCCCGTGGGAGCTCAGTGGCGCTCCCGCCCGTGGGGGTACGCCGCAGCAGGAGGCGGTCAGGCATGGAAGGTGGATGGGGGTCCTTGGAGCAAAGGTCGGACCCAGGGGGAGAGAGTGCCGGAGCAGGTGGGGCAGCCTCCGCCGACGCTTTGGCTCTGCCCCCTCCCTCGGCTCCCCAGCTCTCCAGCGGGACCCCCTTGCCGCTCGACGTGCGCAAGATCGATCGAGCGGAGGTGCTCCAGCTGCAAGGCTTGTTGGTCAAGCAAAACCGTGGGGTCTGTGGCTGCGCCGTGCGCGGCGCGGCTCGCAGAACCGGCCCGAGGGCCCCATCGCCCCACCCCGGAAAAGGAGCTGCCCAACCTTGTTGAGCACGGAGGCGCACACATGCACAATATGCAGGAGGAGCTGGATCTTGCTGACCTGTGGGAGGCCAGCCTACGTCGCCAGAGAGAGAGAGAGAGAGAGAGAGAAAGAAATATTATATCAATCGCTGAAGAATTGGGAGACTTTGATCAACGCGTGGTTTCGCTCAGCGACAGCGGAAAGACCCCTCTACGCCTGTGTCCTCCATCGGGGCCAAGCTCGGTACCTTGCTGGATGGCACGCTTCGTATTGATGTGGGTAATGGGTAATGGTTATGGATTGTTTGGCGGGGATCGTGCGGCTACTGAGCAGCGCAAGGCGGAGCTTGAGAAGGTGGTTCCGGAGCTGCTCACGGAGGCCAAGCAATCGATCGATATTATCAAGGCAGGGCAGGTCAAGCATCGGAGCGCCTCACCAAGGAACGCAACTCAGAAGGCGGCGATCAGCTTCCAGGTTCCCAGTCATCGGCGGGAGCGGCGAATTCGGCAGCGGATGTTCCAGTTCCCCCCGTCGTCGAGATGGTCCGCGAGGTGCCGCCCCATCCGCCTGATGTTCGTTCGCGCGCTGCTGAGAACAAGGAACTGTTGTCGAAAACGCGGGCCCCTCAAGGCGTCAAGTCTGCGGCTGCCCGCGGGGGCCCAATCGGCTACTTCGGTTTCCCCCTTTTTCGGCCTCTTGGAGGCTGGCGGGCTCGCGGAGGCGTCGCCCCCCCCCCCCCCCCCCAGGCCCGGCAGCTGCGCCGCCGCCGCCGCCGCGCCGCTAGGGGCAAGGGCTGGGGGGGTGCCGCCCCATGGGCGTGTTCTCTTGCACAGGGTCTCTTGCACAGGGAGCTCCGACCATTTTATTTCGCGTCGCTCCCCCCTCCCCCCCTCGCGCCCTCAGCGCCAGAGTGGGGCCCCCGCGCCGTGGCTCTCTGCCCCGAGCCCCCCCGCGCCCCCAGCGCCCCAGCGGGGGCCTCGCCCACTGCCCCCTCCGCCACGAACGCTTCATCCCGCGTCGCCCCCCCCCGCCCCCCCGCGCCCCCAGCGCCGGTGCGCGGCCCCCGCGCCGTGGCTCTCTGTCCCGAACCCACCGCGCCCCCAGCGCCCCAGCGGGGCCCCCGCCCACTGCCCCCTCCGCCACGAACGCTTTATCCCGCGTCGCACCTCCCCCCCCGCCCCCGCGTCCCCAGCGCCAGCGTGGGGCCCCCGCGCCGTGGCTCTCTGCCCCAAGCCCCACCGCGTCCCCAGCGCCCCAGCGGGGCCCCCGCCCACTGCCCCCTCCGACACGAACGCTGCATTACGCGTCGCACCCCCCCCCTCCGCGCCCCCAGCGCCAGAGTGGGACCCCCGCGCCGTGGTTCTCCGCCCCGAGCCCCCCCGCGTCCCCAGCGCCCCAGCGGGGGCCACGCCCACTGCCCCTTCCGCCACTAACGCTTCATCCCGCGTCGCGCCGCACACCACCTCCCCTACCTCCCTCCCCGCGTCCCCAGCGCCCCAGTGGGGGCTCCGCCCCGTGCCCCCTCCGCCCCGACAATTTTATTCCGCGTCGCGACGCACGCCACCTCCCACCTTCCCCCCCTTTCCCCAGCGCCCCAGTTGGACCCCCGCCCCGTGGCCCTCTGCCCCAAGCCCCGCCCAGTGCCCCCTCCGCCCCGACAGTTTATTCCGCGTCGCGGCACACACCACCCCCCCTCCTCTCCGCCCCCTCAGCGCCCCAGTGGGACCTCCGCCCCGTGCTCCCTCCGCTCCGAGCACTTTATTCCGCGTCGCGACGCACGCCGCCTCCCCCACCCTCCCCACCTGGGACTCGGGCCCCGTTGCTGGGCCCAGAGGGCGATGCCTTGCCCCCTCTTCCCCCCTCCTCCTCCACCTCCTCCTCCTCCTCCTCCTCCTCCTCCTCCTCCTCCCCCTTCCTTTTTGTGCAAGGGCTATGGCGCACGTGCCACTTGTTTTTTTTTCGCGGCTGCAGCGCCCTCGGGTCGCAGCCCCCGCGCCGCCGCGGAGGCCCCGGCATCCCGGGGGCCCGCCGCCGCGCAGGCGGGAGGCCCGAACGATGGAAGGCGAGCTGCAGCACATCCTCTCCGGCGCTGTGATGCCAGCGTTGGGCTGGTGTCGGACGGGCAGGCCCGGGAGATTTCCCAATTGCAGGATCAGCTGTTTGATTCGAGCAAATTCGATGTGATTTCGTCCACATGCAATGCGTGGTCGACTTGTCAGGCTTTCTCTGAGTGGCTTCATCATGAGCAGCAGGTGGATCCAGTTGTGGAGCTGTTCTACGTCTTTGACGTCGGCTTCTCCTCTTTGACGTCGGCTTTTCCTTGTAGTTGGGCTGCGGCAGCTGGCTTCATCGCGTCCAGTGAAAGCGCGGAAATGATTGGAGAGACGGCGCCCAGTGCTTCAGGGGGTGCTGCGGCGTTGATGTCTAAGATGATCGGGTCAGCAGCGTGGCGGTTTCAAGTCACCGCTCCGACGCGCGGAGCTTTGGCGCGCCAGGTGGCGGCCAGCGTCAAGTTGTCCAGCTTGCCTGCGTCGCGTCGAATGACATGGGCGCAGATCCTCTTCCCTGAGGCGCCCTCTTGTCAAGAGAGGCGCTTGGGCCTCCTCATCGTCGGCCTGTGTCTGGTGTCCGTCGTCAGTCAGATCGAAACTGTCCCAGGCGCGCCTCGAGGGCCCCATTCTGCGGTGCGCATCTCTTTCACGGGCTTGCACGGGCAGGCTGAGGCGCGGCAGCGAGTGGCCCCGCAGTCTTTCCCATTCAGAAGGGCGAAGAATGATCGGGGGGGAGTTATGTCGGTTGCCTGCCAAAAGAAGGCCGACGCGACGAATCTCCCAAATGGGGCTGGGCATCTGGATGCGGCCCCATGGGCCCGCGCGATGCTGCTGGAGTTTGCGCGCATACGCGGAGCGCCGGTTTCGCGTTTTCCAGGGGCCCCCAAACAATGACAGCAGAAGTTATGCGGCCGTTGGGCGGCCGCGAAATTTGAGCAGGTTCCTCGTTCGGCGTCGCGGGGCAGCGAGCTCCGACGCACGTCCTCGTGCGGCGCCGAGAAATGGTCCACCTGTTCGCGGAGTGCTGGCCCAGGTGCTAGCGTTGTCATGGT